CCAGACATTTTTCCATATTACATTCTTTAGTGGGATTGTCGATGGAGCAATGTTATATTTTTTCTTTCTTTCAGTTTAGAGCTTCTGATAATAAAACTCCTCACTCTTCCGATTTTTAATCCATATATGTGAATAGACAGAAAATTGAGATTATTCCGCTATGTGATTTTGTAATGAATTTTCGAGCGAATGACCTCAATTTCCAGGACAGGTAGTAGCGCATTCTTCTTCAACTCCAATATGACTTTAATGCTTTCATCAAGTTGCTTCATAACGTTGAGGAATTTATTCAAATCTTTCTTATCACGCAAAATGCTCCACCAAATATCTCATAAGCACTCGTGGTTTCAGTTGCGACTTTCTAAATTTCATTCCTTTTAACGACTCATTTCCTATCCGCTCCGCTTTCAGCATATCTACTTCTCGTTCCCAGATTTCCGGCAGGGAGATTACCGCCTTCTCGCCTGGTAGGATTGTGTACACGTGTTGTAGGTCAAAACTCACCAACAATTCCGTCTCCGCCAATCCAATGTTTTGTATCATTTGAGAAAATTCATCTGAGTCCCTTACGACGTTCGAGAGTCTGTCATTTACTTTTTTAAACTTTAAGCATATAAACTCAGCTCGATTTTTTGCCGTTACATGACTATTATTCACTCTTAATCTTAAAGGTTTTTCTTCCTTGTATATCTTCTATAGTCTGTATGTTATCGGTGTTGTTGCGTCGACTTAAATTGAGGAACAGTACATCAAACTGTCGATTTATCCAGTGTTATTCATTTTATTTGGCATATTCTTCAATAACCTGTTGATGGTTGGATTCTTTCTTGGTATTTGATACGTTTTGCAGTCGCCTAGCCTACTTTCCTTTTCCTGGTTGTACTCCCGCATAAGTTACTTTTAAAATGACTAATAGAAAAGAGAGAAGAGAGGTCTTTCGTTCGATAATTCAAGAAAGTTCAAATGTGAGTTTTCGAAATAAGAAATTATAAACCGAAATAATGTAGAATTATAGCAAGAGGTATTACACTATCATGTGGCCCGACGATAAATGTACAATTATATCACTTAGTGCATATGAATTTCAGTAGAAAACACCTAATTCTCAATTGTCCTGTGGCTAAAATGAATTTAGATGTAGCAGGTTTTACGACTACCAAGATGGCGTGGCTTTTTATTTTTTCAGTC